CCAACCAAACCAGTCTATGATTCTATGAAATTTTTGAGCACGTTGGTTAAAAATACTGACAGAATGAACAATAAATACGTACCAAGGTGTATTATTAAACTTTTGTCCAACATAGCATTTATTCAAGGGTGATGAAACTACAGCTACTAAGCAAATGACTATGCTCTTGGTTTAAGGAATGATAGTGTGTGAGGTAGAAAAGTGCAGCTTTCAGTCACCTGCAGATGCTTGAATTTGCTTTTAGGGCTCTGATGTGTAGTTGACCTGTACAGATACACCTCAAGATTACTTCATTAGCTACATAATTTTGTTTTAATGAGCAGACAAAATGGTATAAGTATGCTAAAGCAGAATATCTAAAAGGAAGACTTAAATTTAATAAAGGTTATATTTTTTCCTTTAAAGTAGATAATACAGTGTTGATAAAAGCTGGGTAAAAATGACAGATTAAAGAAAATGGTTACACAGTAAAGCTTTTGCAGTAGTAGATGGATATTAAAATTAATTACCTTTTGAGACAAAGCATCAAAAATACCCCAGAACAACTTTCTGGATAAATGAAGTTCTTCTTCTGAGGCAGCACCAAAGTTACCCCATCCACCTGGCAAACAATAATACTTCCAGCATCTTTCATAATGATTTGTCAGCAACTAAAACAGAACATATTTTGAAAGCAAATAAAATATAACTGTTTACGTTCTTCCATTCTGGCACTTGACCATTACACAGCCACTGCCAGAAAAATTTCTAACTTTCATTCAGAAGCCAAGTTGTGTATCTATTCTTTAAATCATTGGTGGATACACACACAGAATGAGCAGTTCGTTCTTTCAACACTGGTGGCATATGCAAAATGCATGTCACAGAGGATAATTTTCCCCAACACCACAAGAACTGACAGCTCAGCTGAAGACAAGAATTCACCTCCATCTCTGTGTCGCTATTCCAAACACTGCTGCTTGGTAGGTAAGATAGTTGAACCACTTTTTCACTCAGTTCCCAATTATTATTTACATGTCTGAGAGCAATTCAACAATAACTCCCAGTCTGTCTCATCTCTTCTTTGAGTTGTAAAACCTGCCATCAGTCTGCCCTCCTGCTCTCTATTACAATGGGCAGAGGAGCTTTACCATCTCTCTCTTTCCTTCATTAAATACATATTTCAGGGATACTTTCTTCTTCAGTGGTTACAAAATTCCAGATTATCAGGGACTCAAATGGTGCAAGAACCTGCTCCTTGGTATTTGCCAAACTCAAACATCACAAATTTTGCACTTAATGTGTCCTCTATGCTCCTCAGTCACAGACAAGAAGAGGAAAAATTAGTACATCAGTCAGTAAAGGCAATCCCAAAGAAAAAAATCCTAGCAATAGGAAAGTATGAAAACCTAGTCCTACTGAGGAGTAGATTTCCCTAAGGCACAGAATGACCTTTCTAAAAAATTTAGTTGGAATTGTAATTCAGAGTTTATTTTAACAGTTCCTTAGAGTAAGAGAGAATTGTTTCCACATCACTTTGTAAAGCATGTTAGCAAAATATTACAAGTCACAGTCAGTAAAGAGCTGACAGGATTCCCTTTTTTCCAGTCAGAACAAATGCCAAGATGGAAAAAGCAGATATTCTTTTCTACACATTTGTGTTATGAAGACAGGTATTAAAAAAAAAAAAAGGCATAATGTGTAGAAGTAAGGATTTTGATAACCAAAAATATAACCTCAATAATGTGCAGTTCCGTTATACTTTTCATGGATGAGAAAAAAAATTTCCATATAATGCATTTGTATATCTTCAGATTTAAATAATCTATTTTTATGTATTTACTATTTAAATTGTCAGATGATTAAAGAAAAAAGGGAGAGAAGAACTTACATCCCTATATAATGTACAAAGACAGAAGTTTTATCATTCACGTAGAACCACAGGGGTCTCAGAAACAGGGACTCTAAGAGTCTTAAGATGCATTTGAAAATGTTTTTTTCAAAATAAATTCGATTACACAATGGTCAGAAATGTTTGCTTTTGAACAACATGCGAGTGCTAATATATATGTACATATTTTTAAATCTAGCCAAGAGTAAAGGCAGGTTTACTCTTAAAGAAGCCCCTGACGAAGCACTGAGCATGATTTAAGAGGAAATAAAAACAAGGTAGCCCTATTCCAGAAAGTTCCCTCCAAACTATACAGGAAAAGCATCACAGACTTGAATTCACATTCCGCCTAAACTGAGGTAATTTTTAATTGTAGAAATGAGCAAAGGTATTCACAGTAGATAGCACTCTATTCTGATTTAGCCTTCATGATTTCCTCCTCTTCCCATTCAAGACTACATTTTCAGACACATGATTAACTTGTAGCTCTCTCTTTAGACTACTATTAACCTGTTTACTAGCACAAACCCATAAGGAATATGCATGGTACTTTCAAATCAGAAGCATGTTAGTAGACATAAGTAGGAGTCCCTTGTCAAATCACTAAAAATCAGTTTCCTGTCAGTGAAACCTTTGAAAAGATCTAGTTCTATCTTCAGATAGAGCTCACTTTCCTCAGAAACTCCTGTTACTTGTTTAGGTGTCAATGAACAAAATCATTGCCCATGCTAAAACTACAGTTCTCCTGAAGCCTGACTTGCCAAGAGGATCTAATTGTTTTTCCCTTCCTGTTCAGTTCAGCAACTCGTGAAAGTCAAAGAAGCTGCTGCCCTAAACAAACTGATCTCAGGGAGTTGGGGTTGGTCTTTACCCCTCAAAAATCCTGAAGGACCACAGCCACGCAGGGAGCGCCAAGTTACTATTTGGTTTCTGCAGCATTAGAAAGGTCCCCTTCAGGGCAGTGTACTAAATTATCAACTCCTTTTCTCACACATAGGCACAGAAGAATGGCTGCTCTGCCATCTTTAGTTTGATTGAGCACTTCTTGGGAGACACAACCGAATTATGAAGTCCTTGGCAGGGCAAAGACCATGCAGCAGGTCCTGGCTTTGAGACAAATTATTGAAATTCCTCATCTGAGGTCAGAGACCATAATCTGGCTAGTAGAAGCCTGTGTAATTCTGAGGAGCATTTTGGCAAAGAAATCAGATGTAAAATACAATTAATCCTGATATGTGGCTTTTAAAGCATAAAGAAATATTAAATAAGAAAAGATTAAATATATCGTTCAAAGTTGTGGTGGGAAAGCATTAAAAAGGACTGCTGAAAAACAGCAGTAGGTAAGGTGGGAAACAATACATTTCTTAGAACTGCTGATGAAATCTGAGGAATCTTTAGGGAATGTGCCATCTCAGAAAGGAAAACGCACGTTTTTCCTGTGCATTAGGAATCAGAATCAAAAGATATGGAGAAATCTTTGGAGTCTGAAAACAAAACGGAAGATTATTAAAAAGCATACATTGTTTAGATTTCTAAGCACAAACCACAGAAAAAGAGTCTGTTTTCCAAAAGCAAGGAAAAAACAACACAGAGGGCAGAAGTAAGGGTACATACAGACTATCAGTTGCTAACTTCCTTTGTGCACTGGATTCTGCCCCCCCCACGCCCCAAAGGTTTTTCTATTGTGTTTCCACATGGGCTTAAAAAAAATGAGATAAAGGAGAAGCAAATGTTAGAGACGGAGTTCATAATTCCATATGGAAGGATGTAAATTAGACTGAATTCCTGCCGAAGCAGCAATTTCTTATTAGGAACTATGGTCTGCGATTATTGCAGAGTGGAGATAAGGTAACAAAGACGACAAAGAATATTCTCCATGCATGTATTTTCTGTTGCATTTTGTTACAAGGAATGCTGTCGAATAGTAAAATATACTTTTACCTTGAGAGGCATCTTTGCATGTTCATTTAATAGAGGAACATCAAATACTAATCTTCTCAGCAAATGTTGCATCATGGAAGGCCGCAACTGCCTAAAAGGAGACAAACCATTTCAAAAGGGTGTACCAGCATAGTTTCATGTACATAATTAATAAATACATTAAAGCAACCTGTCAGTTCCATGGCATTAAAATTCTTCAAGTTCATAAAATACTAGGATTTTGCTCATGGAACTGAAAAAATGTGTCCAAAAGAAAGCAAATGAGTGCCTACCAAAGAAAACCTTGTGAACAAGTTGCAAATCAAATGCTTTAAAGAAGCAGAGAAAATATCTGATCTGTAGACAGAGAAAATCAGGAAAAAGAATACTGAATTTTAATATTGTATATTATGATCACCATGCCCATGAGAAAAGGCTGTAACATTAATTTCTTGCAATATGTCTCAATGGTTCTTAAAAATATCCTAGAAACTAACAAATACATACGAGCACTAACTCTTTAGATGTACTAAACAAGACATGCAGCAGTGGGCACAAACCGGACATAAGAAACAGGTATAGCATATATGTTAGAATGGTATGGACATTAAACCTTTCCAGATAAATAGCAAGCACTGGTCCATTTTATTGGTTCTTATCAAGGTAATACAAATATAAAATGGTGAATGTGATACTGTTTATAAAGAAATGCTATACAGTACTTCTTTACGGTACTATAATATAAACGTCTGTCATTTCTGAACACATTTCCACACTATGCAAAAAAAATGATGGTGAAGTACTCAAAAAAACTCTAGTGATTTTAGCCTAAATACTGCTAACTTTAAATAGAAATTGAATTCATGAGTGCTTAGTCAACTTCTGCTAATTGAGCCTGCGGCCTTATTTAAAAAAAGGACAATAATCAACTGTTTTTGAGACTGCAGATACCCAGAGAAAATTTGTCCTGTAGGTATCAATAATGAGGTATAAGAATACTAATCATTAGTTAGGATTTCAAATGTAACACAACTTAAATAAACACCTCCATAGAACTGTATAATCTACTGATCATCAACCATACTGCCAATCTGTACAGTTAAAAGTATTTAAATGGCACTTCAGTGTATGCACAATTCCACATTTCCAGAGTTTTGTGTTTGTGCAGTACGTCCTCTTAGTTAATTGCCAAGGTTTTAATTAAAAAGAACTTGGTGATAACAAAATAACTGAGGACTGCATACGAGTGATTAATATAGCTGCAAACTGAATAAAGTGTATTAAAAAATATCACAATCATCTGTACAGCCAGGATTATTTTCTTACCCACAGATAGACAACAAACACTCTTCAATCGAATCTCGCTGAGCTTTGGTAAGAGAGCATCCCTTTGAGAGTCTGTACACAGTATGTAATAAGGAATCGATGAGGGAAGCATGGTGCTCTGTGCCAGCAAACAGAGGAGCACATCTGGTCAACAGGGGCAAGACTGCTGTGCAAAGGTATCGATTCAGAGCCAAAGCCATATCTGTAGCACTTAAAGCAGCCTATGAATTAAATGGGACAGAAATTCGATTTGTCTCATTAATGTTGTTACAAATGAAAAGAACTTGTTGTTTGTTTTTCTTTTGTAGTAGTTACAAAGAAGGAAATTCCCAGAAGACACAAAGGAGGATTCGATACCTACTGAACGCTGGATGCCTAACTTCTTTTCCTGCTTCTAAAGTCTCACAAAAGGTTTTTGTTTTGTTTTTAATGAATGAAAACATAAAGTTAGTCATTCAAAATCAAAATAATTTTCAAGACTCTGCTGAAGAATGTCATAGTTACTTAACAGAATACTCCAAAATCAGGCGATACCAGTCAAGTCCGCATTTATAAAACTAGTACGTTTCTGTAATACAATCAAGCTCAAGTTCCAAGTGAGAAAAAAATCCTCACTTGCTCTTTCTTAAATTACAACATAATTATTTTCAGAAAAATGTTGAAAATAAAAGGTCAAATAGGGAAATCAAAGTCCACGTCTTTGGACTTATATGAGAGTCCTCAATAAGCTCTCTAAATCCGATCTTTCTCAACCAAGCCAGCTAAGAAAAATCAGATGGAAATAAGACCCACAGACAAAAAGGCAGCAATTCTGAGGAGGAGCTAAAACAAAAATTTAGTGATTTCCTAAATAAGAATGTAGGTGTCCCTAACAAATGCATGAAGATGAACAGTTTCTGTATATCTCTGGAAAGAGGCTCTCAGTTACATGCTTCATTGGCAGCTTATCTGATTTTGATTCCACAGCACAGGTTGAGAGCGTTTCCTGGAGAAAGGTATTGCATCTCCTATGGATATGCATATCAATGGGGGCTCTTACAAAGTGAGCATCACTCTGGAGAATGCTGTTTCACTGTTCTTCAAGTATTCTCGAAGCTCAGCAGCAACAGGCAGCTCATCCAGCATTCAGAAATGCAGAAGACAACATGAAGGAATAAAAAATGGGTTTTTTGAGGGATGAAAAATGCTGCAGTGTTCAGTAAGATAACAGAACTGACATAACAACCGACTTAAACCCTTACTGTATCTAAAGAAGCAGCAGCACGAAGATCTGGCAGAAAGCCAACTTCAAGAAGGTGTAGAAGAAAATCCTGGTCCTCAATTCCATAGACCCTGTCAAGGAACAAAACCATGGCTGCCTTGTGATCTGGGCAAAACCCCGCAGACATGTCAGGTTCCACCACAGTACCATCTAAAAGGAAGAAATAAGACTTCAATGACAAGGATCATCTTTCACCAGCAGACTAAGCAGTCATGCTACTACTTGTCAGAGGTTTTGAGTCCCCGTTAATATCTACGCATCTTCCCCACAGTTTTGTTGCACAAAGGCAACATATCTGCAGTTAACTGAAAAAGAATGCATAAGGCAAATTCTACCCAGGTAGACCTCAAAGTCCATACATGCTTTTCTGTTCATGCTTTGTGTATTAAGAGATTCTTATCAGTTGATATTCCAATATGGTAAATACCCAAAACATACTAATTCATCTACAGAATTACCTAGTTCTTAGAAGAGGCACACAGAAAGTAAAAAATACAACAATTCTACATCAAACACCCCAGGAATGCAGCACTGGTGAGCATATTTGTAATGTATGAGAATGGATTAAGATTGTGCTAAAAAGTTCTCTGTATCTGAGAACTTCTGAAATATCATAGAATCATAGAATCATTATGGTTGGAAGAGACCTCAAAGATCATCAAGTCCAACTGTACACCCAATGCCACCATGCCCAATAAACCATGTCTCGAAGTGCCACATCTAAACGTTTTTTGAACACCTCCAGGGATGGTGACTCCACCACCTCCCTGGGGAGCCTGTTCCAATGTCTAACGACTCTTACAGTGAAGAAGTTCTTCCTAATATCCGACCTTATCTGAAAGGAATTCATTGAAATATTTTAAAATTTTGATACTTTCATTGTCAAAACCAAATAAACGATTCTGTATCTATGAGCTGTACTCTGTGCTACTGAGATATCACCTATAGATCTATCGCTATGTGGAATATAAATAAATAATGGTGTAACAGAACGATTGATCTTTTTATCTCTCCTACTGTATCCTATTGGGCATTCTTGTGCCGACAAGTCCCTAGACAATCCATGTGGCAATTACAATGTTCTCTCTCCAGACACCCAAAAAAGCAGATGTAATTCCTTTCCCTTTTATATTGATGTTCACATAGTTCCCACTATTGTAATCAATTCTATGTAGGCCAAAACCACAAATAAATGCATTTGCATATGTATGTCACACCTATAACTTCACCATAGTTGCTGAAGAACAACTCTGGTGTCTTAGTAAGATCTGCTAGAAACAATTGATAGGGTTAGAACAGCAAAAGCTAAGGATTATGTTATCAAGAAAAGAGACTGCAATTTTAAAAAATATTTTAGAAAAATAAAAAGTATGCTTTTTAAAATTTCTTTTTGAAGTTGTAATAGAGTTTCAGGATTCAATTTAAATGAATGGGTTTTACATCAGTGATTTAAGTGTACACAGGATTATTGCCTATAGCATGCAGAAAAATTTTTGAAACAAGTTTGAAATACACATGATTTCTCCTCTAATTGACATAATAAATAGCTTAATTTCTGTAACATTTTTAAATACTGAGAGAAGTACGAGTATCAATATGTTGTTAAATTACAAAACATAAGAATGGGATGGGAGGAAAAAAAAAAGTAGACTAATCATCTTACCTTTAGCTATGGTTGGCATGTGGAAAGGAATACTAATTACTCCCACCAAATCTTCCAGTGGAATCAAAGACCGTAGAATTGATCTGATTCTAATGGCTTCCCCTTTACCAGCATGGATTAGCTAAGGAAAAGACAAACAAAAAATTAACAGGGTCTTCTTTTTATCTTCTATATGTGTTCATGTTCTGGAAACTTCCTGAACCATAGATACACAAGGATGACTGCTCTCAAAATCACATTATAATTCAATATGTACATTTCATGCAATCTGTATTTATTTGCTGTATTTTGGATGCAAATGTGCAAAGTCTAGAAATCTAGATGTTTGGTTACTAAATAAGATTAAGCCCATTTTCAGAATGGAATGTTATGTAAAACAGGTGTTCCGAGCATTAAAATGTAGCACATGGGGGGCAGGGAGAGGAGAAACAGAAGCAGATTTTCAGATGCAAACAAGACAGTTTTTCTGTCCTGGCCAAATAACAACACTTCCAGGTATCTCATTTGTTTTAGTTTTGTTTTAAAAAAGGCAGCAAGACAGGGAGAAAACAAAACAATTTTTAAATTCAAATAAAACAGATATTCATACACTGACCTTATTATACGGTTCTCTCTCTCCTTTCTCAAGTTACTGATCTCTGCACAAACCTGATACTGATCTATATACTCATCTATATGAATTAGGGCACATTTCAAGGTGAAATGAGAAACTATGCATAACTAAGTAGATTTTCTGAAGAACAAGAAGATATTTTGAATCATAAACAACAAATACTTGCAAAATAGTTTCGAGCTCTTAGGAACTAAGTGGTAAGGGCTTGGTTTTTATAGTGTTAGTGTCTAATTCCTTGATCTAATGCCTGAAATAGTGACATCTTACCTTTGAGAAGCCTCATCAGTGTGAATAAAGATTATGAGATATCGATGTGTATGTCCAGGGACAATGCTTATTCCTATGTTTTAAAAGAATGCCCTAAAATATTTACTCCTTTATAAGCAATTTAAACAGTCTGTTTAACAAATACATATATGAAGAGAGCAAAACCATGGTTTTTAAAAAATAAATCACTCTACACCATCACAATAAACAGGGAAATCTGAGGAGTTTGATTATCACAATGGACAATCAAACAATATTCATGACAGAATGTTGTTGAAGACCAAACACAGGAAACAGTAATAAGAAAAGCAATGGAATAATTCCTTTAAAAAGAACAGCTTCTGAATAGTTTACAGAAATTCCTTGTGAATTAGCAGATGAACGTACTATGTACATTAAGATATTGCGAAGCCAAACCACTGCTTTAATACCTGATAACGCATTATTGGGAAAAAGCCAAACAGAAAATCACTAAACAATCAGTAAAACAACTATGCCTTTACTTTCCAATGCATAAAGACATAAAACTTACATGCATTTCAGGGGCACAACGTCCTAAGAGATCAATCAAAGCAGCATAAAAGGTCATGATTGCATTTCCCATGTGAATAGTGTCATCTTCTTGTTCTTCCATTTCACTGTAATTAGTTAAATGTTAAAACAATTAAAAAATGAAATAAATACAAGAAAGTGTTTGGATCAGCAATAAATAAAGAAAAGCTGCTCAGAGGTGTAACAGCTTACACATATTGGCTTCCTGTTAACTAGTGGACTTTTAGCAGACTTAACACAGAATGGAATTTGTCCCTAAAAGATTGTAGTGACATCTGCACTGTTACCATTTATCTATCTCATTTTGCATCAGGCGATTGATTCTTAACTGACTGACAAAGAACAAACAGAATTCTAAAGAGGATTTAATATTTTGAGAGTTTCTTAAATTAACAGTGCAGAGGAAGCACTATTTGGCAGAAGACAAATCTCTACTCTCCACAGAGTCCAAGGAAGAATCCAGCTGCTAATTCACGTTAAAACAAAGAAGTCATTTCACGACTAAGATTATAAAACACATAAACAAAAATGATGGCAATGTAAGCAATCCCACTGCACTTACAGGGTTTTACTAGATCCATTACTTGGAGAAGGTCCATCTCTTGTTGGATCTTCTGATATTTGTATTGCTTCCTCCATGGCAGCAAGCAAGCCATTGCCTCCTTCTCCTCTTAGAGCTGGACCGAAACATTCAGGTCGACGGATAAGCAGTCTGACTACAACATTAGCATTCTCCTCCACACTCTCTCCTACCACATAGAACAAATATCAAGATTTAAGATTATATCAAAAAGACTTCTGAAATATAAACAGAAAGAGGTACACAGAAGTGCAGAATGTATGCATCAGTAGATACTTTTAACTACAAAACAGTTTAAATATCGTGATGAAGTTAGATAAACACACATCCTCGTCTATTATTGTAATAAAAGCTATGAAATAAAACAGGTGATTTAATTCAAAATTAAATAGAGCCAGAGAAGTAACTATGTACTAAAGGATGTTTAAAGTATCACTGAAGCTACTGCTTTGTAGTAAAGACTCACAGCCAAGCAAGAGAGTTAATGAGAGGACCAATACAGCTGCTAAACACTAAAATTGGACTAGCTAAATCTTCATCAAAAGAAGAGGTTTGGTTCTATATCTAGCATGAGTTTTATCACAAAAATATTAGGACGCTCTACTCTATTTCCAAAGGAGCTGTGGGCATTTCAAAGGCTAAAGATGGATCTAAAAAATGGGGCATACACTTGTAGGACTCTATATGACTTGTGAAATGGGCATCTAAGTTACCATGTGTCTTGCATAATTCTACTTGTTCTGCAAATTGTCTTTGAAATTTCCAGTGACTTATCAAGTTGGCTTGTATTACTATTTTAAATTGCAAACTTATTTGAACATTAGAAGAAGTTATAAAATTTACAAGCTTCTACTCTACCATTGCAAAAAACAGCAAAACGAAGAAAATCCAAATATCGCTCTCCTTCAACTGGATTCCACCCGATGTCTGGGTAGCCTTTAGAAATCAACAAAGGACAACTCTGCAATCCACATCCAGCCAAGTAGCGAACCACCTAAAAGCAAGGTAAGATGAAAAAGATACTAATTATTAAAAAGAAGAGAAGTGCAGTTTCAAAGGGAAGAATCCTCATACCTTGTCTTGGATATGGTGTCCACTTTCTGTTATCCCCAACTAAACCGTATCATACTTTGGGCAAATCAGAAGAGCAGCCTCTTTCTTAATTCATTTTCCCAGACTTTTCCTACTTCTGCCATGAGTTGTAAGACCTTACTTACCTCAATTTCATTTTCCTCTCTCTCGATCACTGCTTTGCTATCTGTATCTCATTTCTCTTGCAACCCTGAGCATTATAAATCAGCCAATTTTGTAATATTTCCCAACCACACCCTATTCATATTTGAAAACATGTCTTCTAATACAACTCACAGGTCTACTCTTTTATCTTAACCTTTCCTTTTGATTTGCCTTTTTTCTTCCTTTCTTTTTCAACACACAGCAGTAATATTCCCTGTAATTCAGACCTATAGTCTCAGTAGTAGTTTTGTTGGCCTTCTCCTTTCTGAATTGCACAAATTGTAAACATAGCCTCCAATAAATTCAGCCAGTTGCTTTTTGCTGACCATTTATACAAACGATAAATCAAAAAATGTCCTTTTAAACACACACGGTCTATCTTCCTATTCCAAGAAAGGATCATTCACACTTATATTACTCATGACAGATGCTTTCCTGTGAAGGTTATAGCATCTCCAGAATTGGAGGTCTTCAAGAACAGATTGGACAATGTATTCCACTGTCTTACTTTCCATTAGAAATTGGTTTTAAATCTGTCTTTCCATTATTTAAGTCATTTTTCTTATCCACTACTGACATAGTAATCATTATTCTGTTCCTTCTTGCAGCAGTAATTTAAGTATTCTACACAATTGTCACATGCTCTCTTAAGTTTTTGATTCTTTAGTCTAATTAATTCCAATTCCTTCAATCTTTTCTGAAGCAGGTTTAAATGTTAGTAGAAAATACAGATAGATAGATATCTCTATGAAAATTTATCATATATTGCAACAAGTTGTCACAAGGCTTCCAGTAACCCCTATTGCATTATGCCACCACTGCATGTCACCATCAAGACAGAACAAAAAAGAAAGATTTTAGCAATTAAGTTTTGTTGGGTATGGAGTCCACTACCCTCAGAGTAAGAGCTGCCCTGGAGACAATTCCTTTTGGTTACAGCCGTGTACGTAATAACCATAAACTCAGTTCAACTATCCAGACCACCACCAAAAAGAACAAACCATCAGATCCTGATAGTCTTGCTCTGAAAGGTACCTAAAACTCCCATATACTTCTTATAATCTTTGGTTTTGCTTACTCCAGGAAACCGATTATCTTCCCCTCTCTATAGGGGGAAAAAATGCTCGACAAAGAAGCTACCAACCTTCTCCAGATCAGGCTCCCTTAAAGCTAGCGCAAGTTCATTGTTATCCATCACAGAGGCTGCTGCAACATCTAAAGGAGTTGATCCTCGCATAGAAGGAGAGGCTGTTAAAATAACATTTAGTTTCAACACCAACTTAATCAAAATGAACAAATCCATAGGAAATACATTAACAAAAAAAATTTAATAAAATACATTTTGTCATTAGTTAGCACATGATTATAAGCATATCATTTATACCACTCAGTTTATAATAAAACATCATGCACTCACATGTAATTTGACATTGATATGAAATCAAAATACAATGTAGATGTTCAAGCTAGAAACAACTTTTCTTACACATTCCTATTCTCATCACATACTTTAAGATCTCATTCTTTCTAATTTTCCTAACTGCACAGCTTCATTTTGAGGAAAAAGTGGCGGCGATTTTATATCTAAAACACTGACATTTTATCAAATGTATTGAAATAGAAAATATCTTTAAGCTTTAAAATACAAGATTATATGTTACCTATTTCTTTAAAAAATGGTAGTCATGATAGCACTAGAAAAAGCTAAGGTTTTTCATATTAACACTCCAAATGCAATTGACTTGGGCACTTTCCAAAAAGATTTTTAGTTTATGCTTCTGTCCTGTACCTACACATTAATAATGAATTTGTGATCATTTAAAAAATTACTATGATGATTCTAAATAACTACATATTTTCAATTACAAGCACTAAATTAAATAAAGGATAGATGTCTCTCCTCTATAATACTTCAGCCTAGAAAAGAAAGGCTAACATTTTAAGAAAATTTCAAGGTTCATTTCTGAGCGTCTATACATGCATACCCCAGCAAATGAGCTCTGTATTTCTCCCACTGCCACAGGTGTATATGAACAGAAGAAAGTGCAGGAGATCAAGCTTGAGCAGCAAGAAGTAAGCCCTAATGAAATGCTGCCAACACTTCTTTATGAGTCTTTTCATCAAAATCAGGACTTTATTCTGTTCCTCAAAATGTGCAACTAAGTGCTGACTCTCTCTTAATGTCCAGGCACATACAAAACAGCGTATACTAAATTACCTCAACTTAATGCTACTGTCAGAGGTTTGTTTCAAGTCAGCAATACAGTTAATGAAGATATTTTTGCTGTGGGTAAATGAGAAAATTCAACACAAACAGAGGGTGCAAACAGAAGGAGGCAGAAAAACAGTGGTTATATATATATATGTGCATTTTATATATACATATATATATATAAAAAATCAGTAGAAAGTTTTAAGATTTTGTCTCTGGCTTAGAATCTCAAAAGCCACACACTTATTACTTACCAAGGCCAACACTGCTGTTTTCCAATAAATAGCTAAGATGATCAAACATAGCTTTTTGATTCTGCCTGCTGATGCGGCAAAAATAACATAGAAAACGACAGCAGTTTGCCACCATCTTTGGGAAAGTGATTTCCTAAGAAGCAAATAAAACCAGACTGAAGCTCAAACGCTAAGATAGGCATAAAACTTGCAAAAGATCATTTATGTAACGGCCTTTTAACACAGCAATATTTATGCATTGTATTCATTGCACCTCAGTGAAGTTAACTGCTTAGGTTTCACTCTGGAATCAATAGGGCTTTCTCATCCAGTAAGTAACACCTTAAGCCCCAAAGATCAAGGTATAAGCTTGAAAAATAAGAGCTGGGATCACCCATAAATTCTAGATTCAAACATGAAAGAATGTGAATGCTCAGATTTCACACAGTAATACTGCATCGATTTTTAAATTGTTTCCAAAAAGATCTCCCCTTTAAAACCCAGTAAGTATATAAAGTTCTATTTGCATTTTTTTCTTTAAAGCATCTGCAATTACAATGCTAATTATATCTTCCTCCAGAATGGAAGGATACATTCTTCTAAAAACTTAGTCAATTATTGTGTTCATGGATATTACTAAGCGGTTATGGTCTGAGTACCTCCAGTGACTGCTCAGCACCTTATAGGATAAAGCTTTGAACAGCTATATTCTAAACTCTCTGTCTTCTAAGAGTGAATTGCTTTACCTTCGATTCTCCTCCACCAAGCACATTTACCATCACTTCCATGACAGTTTCATGCATGCCTAAAGCTCTCATGAGATTTGGATGTTGGTAAAATACTTTATTATTCATGATGTCTCTATAGGAAAACAAAATAAAAAAATGGATTAAAATGTTATGGACCAATAGTTTACCTATTATGTTATTTGCAAAGCTTTTTACTGTGCAATTCTTCACCACCTGAGGTAAAAAATTACCTCAGGGACTTTTTCACTTTGAGTCTCAATCTCTCCTGGTAGTCTATTTTTTTATGTCTATTTTTGCACATTGTGGAAGAACCTCACTTTTCTTTTCCCATATTATAGTTATTGCCCTAATCATCACTTTATTACACCAGAGTAGGATGTTGTTCTATTTTCGTTAGAAATTCCATTCCAGATCTAAAATTATTTTCTCACAAGAACATGATCAAAAATGCTATATTACCTTAAATTTTAAATTCAACTAATGAATATTTTTGACAAAGCATTCTTTTCAGAATATTTCAACCTTGAGACATTTAACATCTGCCATCAAAACCATGTAAAAACAATTGTAGGGGAAAGAGAATGTATATCCAGCTATCCCTTAAGCATCAGAAACAGAAGTTGCATAAATATTAACCTTAGTTCATGAGTTACTGCTCAAAAGAACTCTTCTCTCCTACATATTTCAGCAGAACAGATTTACATACTTTAAAATCAGTCCTGGAGATTAAAGTGTCAATACTTTATTGGACATGTTATGTCCAATAAAAAAGTCTGGCTTAAAAAGTAATTAAATTTCTAAAAACTGTAATTAGTCTTGAAATCACACACAATCCATAAATAAATGTGAAAGCAATTAGGCCATGGGAGAAAAGGACTAGCAAGTCACTGTAGAAAATACTGTTGACAACTGTTCAAATTTCATTGTACTTTTTACAGAAGTCTTTTTTTTTTTTTTTTCGTGACCTAAAACTCCTGCAATAAGGTAAGGAAAATTTCAGTCTTATGAAAGATGAGACACGAAGAGGACTGTTCCACCATCCTAAAAGCTACAAATCTGCAACTATCAGTCATCCAACAGAATGCATGCGGTAGGTTTGATGTAGGTGGCACTATCAGAGTTTTTGACCCCCAGTAACTCCCAGAAAGATTAGCTCATCTTTTTCCCCCAAAGCCTACAACCAGACTTCATATCAGAGATGACAGAGGATAGGTCCAGCCTCCAAAAGCTATCCACACCACATCTCCTTTCTGTTGCTAATGCTTCATGCTGTGGAAAAAGACCTCAATGGTATCAATCTGCCAAGTCATTCTAATCTCTTATTTGTCTACAGCAGCTTTCTTTTACAGAAATACGGTACCAAAAGATGAAATGTCACCTCAGGAGCTGACCAGCCATATTACACTATTTTGGAAAGTACATTCACTTTCATTTTTCTGTTTAACTATGGACCACATTCTGAAGTGTCACACTGAAGAAAAAAAAAAATCTTAACAGCATTTCTGAGGAAACTGAGTTTTTTTTTTTGACACTTCCATTTCTCAGGTGAAAGCAAAAAAACTTGCATTTCTAAATAGGTGCTGGAGCTGAGGTTATGCTACAAAAGGTACAAATGGCACAGTTGGGTAATCTGCAAGATAAACAAGACTATGATAGAGGCTACCAAGAAGGGTGACAGGAGCAGGCAGTGAGAACACTAGCTTAACAGAAAGTATTCCTTCTTCCTTACAGCAGACTTTCACACATCACCAAAAACGTTGTTACAATTAAATCCAACTGACAAACTCTTAGCTTTTAATTCATGGCAGAAAATGTTGACCAAAAAAGGGTAAAAGAACAAAAAGAAAGCAGCACATGAAATGAAAACCCCTCTGAGATTGTTTTTTTTCCCAGGCACAACAAAGCCAGAATCTAGTAATCACTCACTCATTTTAGACGTCCTTAGCTTAAAGAGAAAGGTAACAACTCAAATTTGAAATACAAAGGTGGTTTTTGAAATATCAGTATTTTGTGTCTCTTGACAGGTGACAGACTTTCCCCTTTGCCAAAGCCTTAGCATGAGTACATCGAACTTTGAAATAACCGGGGAACATTGATGGGCCCTGCTGGCAAGCTAAGAAGTAAGCATTGTTCATAATGACACTACAAAATTATGTATAGACATTATTTGGATATTTGAGATTTTCAGTAAGCTCATAAAAAAAGAAAAAGGTACTTTGCATAACAAAAGCTTCTCTTCACCTTGTATTCCTGGCATTCTTTACATAATGCTATCTTTGGCTGTCATTGCTCTTGCTGATTTGGGATTTCTCATAGATCACAGCTGATGTTTCATCTCACTAGGCATCTCTCAGATGGTAACATTTCTTTGAAAAAAGCCACAGGAAAAAAAACAACTCTTTGCTAGTAGAGATGATCAAGCTTTCTTTAATGTTTTCTCCAATTGTACTCTGTATTAGGCTATATTTCACTACTATTAATCATGTAATTATGAAAAATAAGACTGGGTGAACTACTTCATAGTTCAAATAGTACCAAGTGCATTCAGTGCAATAACATTACATACATGTTTTCAACTTTTCTCACAAGAAGTCTTACAGATGTCATTTGTTTCTCTCCAAAAATGATACATATAATGCTGCAAAGGCTGTATTTTAGACCTGAAGATACTATACAACCGAATCCAGGGTCTGCATTTACACCCATATAAACTATTTGCATTCATACTTCATGTATAACCTTGGCCATAACCATACAGCAAATAACAACAAATATCTGTAAATAAAGAGATGTTACACTCCAGTTATTTACCCTAATCCACGAATCATAAGTTTCTCCTCCTCCTTCCCCATTCTGACACTAAGCAAGGAACGGATTTGGCCAAGGGATGCCAGAAGATTGATTGTGTCTTCCACAGACACGCTATTTATGGTGTAGGTCTTTGGTAGGGCTCGAACCAGGCCACCAATACCATCATATTGGCGATGTAGCAATACAAACATGGCCCTTACTAACTCCGGGTCTTCTATCACAGATTCTTGGGCCCAGCGTACCATTGTGTCTGAAATCAACTGCTGAAGAGTAGCTGTGAAGAAAATACATAAATCACATAATTACCATTAATTGCTCATCTCTCTACTGGTAGTCCCTCAGAACCCATTATGCAACATGAATTGGAATGAATTCAGTTCTTAAGGAGCACCTTTTTCTTGATATTTCTTTAGCAGACTATCAAAGAAAAATAAAATAACACAAAGAGAAGCAGAAACACCTCAAAACCAAAAGCCTACATTTAAAATTAAAATACAGAAAATAAATCTGATAACATAAAAAATTATGAAGCCATATAAGATGCTCACAAAGTCACCAGATTTATTTCTACATATTGCTTTCAAGATTTTTCCAGGAATTCAGGTCTGAGGGTTTTTCTTACATATCATGGAGTAAGACTGGACAAAGATACTGGTAGCACATGTAAACCCTGTATTATTTATCTACATTTCTAAGCTCTGTATCCATTCAAAATTTTCTAATGTACAAAACAGAATAATTTAACTTAGTCCTTTGCCAAAACCAAAGGTCCTTCAAAAAAAAATAGAAATGAAGAGACTCCAACCAAATAAATGGCGAATCATCATTTGCATATTTTGAATTCAGTCTCTAATGAAGCAAGAAACTCATATCTGGTATTCTCATTGACAATCTTTATTAGTTGGGATATATATATATGTATTTATATTTGGGAAAGTCATATGTTAAAATAGACAAGCTATACAATGTCAGTTAAGATTTGAGACTACTGTTAGAAAAATTACTTATGAACTAACAGTCAAGACAAAGTATTTGATAAAGACAACTGAATAATATTCTTTTTCCCATCTCAGGGAACTTCCATTCAGGTTTGCAAGACTTTGTCAGGTCAATTCAGGATCCTGACAGTTATATGCTAGAGAATTTCAGCTTTAGACTTACCTAACTAATCAACTTATTTCTGTGCCAAGCAGATAACAGCGAAAGTTTGACAAGGGAAGTTTGATAATCCCTTCTGAAGTTCAATAAACTGCCTAATAAATGCCCTGATGTTGAAGAAGGTGGCTGATGCAGACCAAACATAAAAAATATTTTCAAATTAGAAATCTATGTGTTGAGACAGTAACCTGATTTTGGAGTAAACCAAATGCAATTTCAGGCTAAACTAAAAAAACAAAAAAAAAAATAATTAAGTAAAAGTACTTAAAGAAAGATATTGACAGGAGTTTACAGAAAAGAGAATGTTTAACAAAGAAGTGAATTTGTGCTAAGATCTGCTAATACAGGGTAAGGGAAAAGAAGAGTAATAGTACTGTATTTTATTGTAACTGTCCAAACACTGTACTATACATGTTTCCATTGTCACATAGCATAGCATTTTTTAGAATAAAAACACTTTAAAAATAACTAAAAGGATGAAATGTGTTTGTGCTGATATTTCAGAAGGACTGAAATAAATAATAACACGAAGGGACACAACAGGAAGTTTGCTTTGTTTTTTGTGAAGAATCACACGAGCAGGCTGTCATTTGGCTCCTGTTTTGATAACTGCAATACTGCATCTCACCTACCTGTGGGTCTGGCTGTTATCTTGCTTGCAAAGAACAAACCAGGCAGCCTAACGATCACAATACTGTTTAATCAGTTTAATATAATACTGTCTTTCTACTAACACGAGAACGAGAGAATTCGATTTTGTAGAGCTTTAAGTTTACTACCAGAAAAAAAAAAAGAGAGAACTCATCACCACATTCTGCATAAACCTAGCCTCCAATTATCACTGCCTGATAACTGAAATAACACTGAAGAACACTAAGCTAACACTAATAACTGACAGCTAAGAAGCCATCTCATTATAAGTACCCTGGGGAAATCTTCTTGTGCCATAACTTTAGGCAGTTACATGAAGCATCTAAGTTAAAAGGTCAGTCTCCCTAGGAATTCTGTGTAATCAACGGTGGAAACCAAGTTTTTTACCAAAGTCACACCACCTAAACTGTGTGCCCAGAAACTCTTTCCTGCTTGTAGGGCAGCAGCATAAAACATTAAGACATTTGAAAGTGCCGTCCACCAAAATAAAGGTAAAAAAAAAAAATTATAAAATCAACACTGACAAGTAAAAAATAAATAAAATTTCATAATCAGTTGGCACCAAGTGCAGAACTTGTATGCCACTGGCAATGATTCTTACCAAGATGGAAAGGCAGAAGGTGTCAGAAAAATGACAGAGCAACAATCAGTCATCAAATCTTGAATTTTAGGTTGGGTGGGGAGGCTTCTCCTAAGTACAGCTTTGCACATTATGGTCTAATTGCACAGTCATCTTTAATTTGGTAACCTTCGTGCAAATACTGATTTGAAGCTGCTGCAGTTGATTTTGTGAGAAAGTTCTTATGACCAGGGCCTTGCTACAATTATTAAGTCTGCACAAATTCTACAAAAAGCAAGATGCATTCTGGAAAAATTATGACTTGAAAAAGGATCAAGGGTGAAAAAGCCAGCAGAAGAAACTTTCCACTATATCCCACTGGGAAATAAATCTGCCTATCATAAAAATTCCATCTGAGCTTGTTTTGAGTCAGAGCTACACACTTTAAGATGCACAGATGTTTCAATGAAAATCCACCTTGTTTTGGCTGAAAATACAGGAAGAACTTCCTACCCTGCTTTTTTTTCCTTTTGGAATTAGGATACAATAAATTGATTTCATTTTGCTTACAGGATGTCTTAGCATCATCATCAACTGGCTTCTCAGCTTGCTTCTTCTTCAGATATGTAACCTTTTCCATAAGGTATAGGAGGCGACCCCTAATGGTTAAATCACTGTTTCCATCCAAGGTTCCATCTTCATCTAGTTCAATTCCTGAAATAAAAAATATAAGCAAGTTACAGACATGTTTTCTATCTTGTACGTACAAACATACAATATTGGCAGTTTATGGCCTGGACAGGAATACCCTTAGCAGGGGGAAAAAATGGTTGACTGGCCATGCCCAGAGAGTGGTGGTGAATGGAGCTAAATCCAGTTGGTGGCCGGTCACGAGTGGTGTTCCTCAGGGCTCAGTGTTGGGGTCAGTTCTGTTTAATACCTTCATTGATGATTTGGACAAGGGGATCAAGTGCACCCTCAGTAAGTTTGTAGACGACACCAAGCTGAGTGGGAGTGTTGATCTGCTGGAGGGTAGGAAGGCTCTACAGAGGGATCTGGACAGGCTGGATCGATGGGCCGAGGCCAACTGTATGAGATTCAACAAGAACAGGTGCCGGGTCCTGCACTTCGGTCACAACAACCCCATGCAACGCTACAGCCTTGGGGATGAG